ACAGCAGCATTATACCCCAACACACTTGTGAGGATTAGCATTTTGGTCCATTCCTGTAGAACACTGGATGGGTGGGGGCAGGGGCTGTGATATAGGCCTCACTGCCTTATTTGCAGGACACCCTTCCCTCATTGGTAGACAGGCTCTCACCTCCCTTTTTTGCCATCCCCAGGTCTCCCCATAATACAGCTCCCCCACTCCTTGGTGCTGTTACTTGGCTTCCAGTTGGACCCTTGCTTGTCTGGTCTCAAGAATTTCAGCCACGTGGGGGTGGAGCTGGGGGTCCCATCCCATCTGGTGAGCAGGATGTCTGGATTCAAGCAGCTCGTCGCTCACCTTGCCTCCTCAGGAGACACAGTCACTGTTCCTGCCCTGGCCCAGGTCCTACAGCGACTCCAGCGCTTCGATGCCTTGCTCCTACTCTGCGATCATTTCATTCTGAGCCGGGCCCAGGGCTGCCAACACTAGGAGAAACACACGTCACTGCCTCAGCACATAGAGGGAGGGGTACCTCCAGGCATAGTTTTGGCTGGGTGAACCTGGGTTGTGTGGAGATGGCCTTTGAATGTTGGGGGGTAGAATCACAGTAGAATGATGAGTCTGTGAGTGCTCACTGAGTAAACTTCTCTCAACCACTGCTTGAGCCCTACCTCGTGCTGGTGATGGTTGGCAGATGCATGTGGTACCTCTAAACACCACCTTTCTTCATACGTGTTTATATTGATGCCCAGAGACCTCGTGGCCCTCTTGGTCACCATGCATGGTTACAGGGCCATTTGCCTCCATTGGCAGGACAGGACCCTCGAAGCACACAGTGTTTCCTTGAATCACATCTCAGCTGTAATGATTGAACTCATTGTGTGAGGGACTGGATGGGGGGTATGAAAATATCCCCCAACTCTAAGAGGGAGCTCAGAGGGTCTGGACCCTCTGTGTTGGATTTATCCCCCTCAGCTGATTGTATCTTCCTCTTAGAGGCCTGATCATCATTTGTTCTTCCCCCCCACTTTTTAGAGGTGGCCTTCTCCATTTGGCAGACGTATTTTGCTGGTTTTCTGCTCAGCTTTCTGAGGAGAAGCTGTGGCTGCCTTTTTGTTTACTTCTCCTTTTGTGCGCCGATGAGGGGACCTGTTCTTGGAGAAGGGTTGTTTAGCTGCCACTCCTTTTTTTTTTTTTGCTGGGCAGGAGGGACTCATGCGCTGAATTTCTGTGTGCCATACCAGAATAGCAGTGTGTTTAATTGTATTTCCTGGATGTGGAATGGTACACTTTTCATAAAGGGATATTTCGAATTGAGAGTCAGGATTTTTTTAAGCATGGTGGAATTTGCTCCAATGCAGATGGCAGGGTACTTGTTGCATTCCCCGGTCTTCTTCTAAGCACCTCTGCTCCCTTGCCCAAAGGGGCTTGCTAACAGGCTCCTCTGTGTTGATGTTTGGAGGAGAAGAAGAGGCGGGGATGAGGCCTCTCCCCCGCCTCTTTCCTCAGCATGCTATGTCCGCCCCCCCCTCCCGTCAGTTGGATCACGCTTGCAGGCAGGAGGGGGGCAAGGAGGAGCGAGCCGCAGCACACCACTCCAAGGAGGAGGAGAAGACAAGCCAGGGTGAGGCCTAAGGGAAGGGGCTGGAATTGGGGCATACCCCCTCCAGCCCCCTGCATGATCACCCCCTGACCCCAGCCCAGCCCCCTGCCCACCCTAATCCCTACAACCCCCCTGCCCATCCTAACCCCTGCACCCTCCCAGCCCCCTGAGCCCCTGCCCTGACCCTGCACTCCCCTCACAGCTCCTCAGCACCCCCACACACGGATTGTCTGTGGTGCCTGGGAGCACAGGGGGGCAGTGACAGCGGGACTTGTCAGTGCTGGCTGCCACGCCCCCTGCCAGTGGGAATGCCCAGAAACTACCTCCCTGCACTCCGGGGAGGGGCGCAGCCCAGTTTTGGGGGAAAGGGGCAGTCGTGGGGCAAGTCCAGGTGCGATGGGGGAGCTGGCGGTGACTCCGTGTGGGGGGTGTAGGAGAAGCAGGGTGTTTAGGTGGGAGTTGGTGTGGCAGGGGGCAGAGGGAGGGCGGGGAGAGTCTGGGTTGAAGGTGGGGGTTGGCTCAGTGTGTGTGTGTAGAAGCGGGGTAGTAGAAGAGAGGGAGGTGACAGCCCTGGGGTGAAAGTGTGTAGGGAGTGGGCAGTAGCAGGGAGATTGACCCTTTGTTAGGGGGTTAGTTGTGTGGGATGGGGACAGTAGGAGGGATGGGAGGAGAGCCCAGGTGTGAAGATTGGGGTAAGAACTTGAGGCTGGATTGTGGTAGCCTTTGTGGTAAAGTGTGTGTGTTTCAGTGGCCCTTTCTCCTTGCAAAAGATGGGCACCAGCAATTTTCCTCCCCACACCCTGCCCCAAAGTTTTGTAAACATTATTGTACCAAAGTAGAAAATGCAGCTTTCAACAATGTATTTAGGAAACATAACTTTGGGTGGAGGAGGTGGTGGTGGGGAAATACAGGTGCGACACCACTGACTGCTGCAGCCGGGCTTAATATGGCTCATAAGTGTGCTAATTAAGCACTTGTGTTCAGGGCCCTAAGCAGGCTCTGAGTGTTTAAAGAAAAAAACAAAACTAACAACCCCCCTCCGACACAAACCAAATTCAGTGTTCTGAGTACATTGATGTTAGCCCAGTTTGTTCTCTATGGGCTGAGTGGAGGTCGCAGTTTGGCTTCAAATATCTTATTTTGTTTTTGAATAAATGTTTTCATCCCCATCCCGGCAATACCACATTTACTATGGCATCAATGGTGCTGTCACGCTAGGACCATATCTGGAAGGGGTTCATCACAACCACATGGGACCCACCAATATGTTTGGTGCCAGGCCCACAAAACGTTAATCCAGCCCTGGTCACTTCAACTTACTGGTTGTTAAATTTAGAAGCCCTTTTAGAACCGGTTCCCAGCTCACCACTGTGTGTAACCCAGGGTAAGGGTCTCCCCTCCATTGCCCCTCCTGTGAGCACCATGGGTCTCATCTTCTAAACACTAAATAGAGACCACTTGGCCTGGATGGTGCCCCTTTGAAGTGCAGACTGAAGGATGGCTTGGCTTTCAGTTCATCCGGTGCCCAATTCTCTTGCTGTAGGATGCAGGCCATTCCCATTGGCTTCTGCGGGAGGTGCTTCTGTCCTATGCTGATAAAACCGGAGCCTGTGGGGTTTAGTATGTTACTTAGCTACAACAAAATAAACTCAGTATAATAATAGAGGGTGTCTCAATGGCACAACCACTCCATCCCCTTACCCCGGTTAATTAAAAACTAGAAGGATGGAACCCCTCCAGAACGAACTATGCCAAGTTCATAATGGGAAATGCTGAATGGAGTATTCTCAAAAGAGTATTTTCTCACTGCTAGTGTAATGTACTGCCAGGTGCATATCGCCCCCTACTGGAATTAATCAGACCTTTGTGTGTTCATATTCTGAGTATTAACCTGTGCAGGGAGGCTAAATACTACTCCCAGGTAATGAGGGTTGCCATTTGCCTGCAAGAGGCTTCTGTTGGAAGAGCAGAAAAGTATGATGTCTCATCCCAGTGCCATGTGTCTTTGATTTGGCTGAATGACTCCGGTGTCTGGAAGTTTTGTGTCCTGGCCACTTTATGGTGCCTGTTAAAGTAATCATGCCATGAGTGGTGAAGTGGCCTTATTATAAAATAATGTGTTGTTCAGACTAAAGATGACCTCATTTTCTGAGAATGGCTGTTCCGTAGGGATGCACTCTTCTGTCTTTAATTTTCTCTAGGAGGATTTGTCAGAGTTTGCCATGGTTTGGCTGTGTTAAACTTCCTGAAGTTCCTGGAACTGGTATCTGGAGGCAGCTTCCAAAGTTGGTGGCTGCAGGTTTTTGTGCTATTTTCTCAAAGCTGCCAGCAGCTTCTCTTCTTACTGTGCATTAAGCAGGAGCAGGTTACACTTTGAACTGCTATCTGACAAATTGGATTGGTGGGGGGAAGTTGTAGAATATGAAACAATCCAAGTCTCCTGTAAGGCTGGAGAAATCCTGTCACTGGGTCGCTTCACTGATTGACAGGCAATATTAAAGTAAGCTTTTAAGTGCAGTATCGTTGTCAGGGGCAAATTCTTCAGGAGAAAACATGACACACCCAACACCTCCGGGAGAGAGGACAGGAATCCAGCCTTGGCGATCAGCTGCAATAGTCTGTTTTGTGGTTGCAGAACACACCCACGGTCAATTCATGAGAGGACCCTAGCAATCAGGGCATATGACATACTCTATTATATTAATGTGTTTTTCAGCCCTGGCACTCAGCTGTGACGGATTCCTTTCATAGTGAGGTCATTTTCAGAGAGCAGCTGCTCCAGGAGGAGAGGCGTCTCTGGGAGACTGATTGCAATCAGCACTTTGCCATGAATTCAGACAGATGGAGGCTGTCATTCGGATTCTATAAAACACACTGTTTCACTATGGTTCACGTTAGGTGGGATTCAGTGTGGCTGTCAGGTGGCTGATGACACAGGCTCCCTAAAACGTCATCTCCAGGTGGATCTTTACTTCATTTGTGGCACAACCTTGACACCTAGTGGAAGGGAAAGGAGGTGCCTTTCTAATAATCTCTCAGTTCTTCCCCGGTCTGTGGAGCTGGCTGTTTCAAACAAGGGTGAAGAAGAATGTGGCTAGCTCCACATTGCGATGGTGTTGGGCTGCACGACATTTCCCATGTGTGCTGTATTTCGCTGCACCTCAACATATGGGGATTGCTTTTTTTTTGTGAAGGCTTGACACCGATATCTGGGGCTGGCATTGGAGTTGCCCCATTTAGCCACACGTCTGTTTCACCCTGCTACACCCTTGAGGGTACAAGTCCAATGTAGAGTTGTTAACCTCATGAGCTTTGGGACATACTCAAGGAGTTTCACTGATATTAGGGTGCCTAGAACAATGGGTGGTGAGGAGGGAGTTTTGCTGAGTATACATAGTGCTGCCAAAGTGCATAGGCATAGGGTGCAAGATATCAGACCATCTGTACCCAGTTAGCATTGTGGGCACTGTTCATCTTCTCATGAGCTTTCGGGAAAGTGAGCTGGACTGTCCCTGATTAAACCCTTCACCTTATCCCAGCTAAGAACCATAAGCTGTTGACAGTGCTGGGCTGTCTTAATTTAATTCACATTGCCTGAGCATCAGTGGTGTGCCAGGGAGCTCACTGGTACATTTGAGAACACAGTGTCCCCGCTGCTGGGTGTTCCGGATATGTTCTGCAGTAGCTGAAGGCCTAGAGAGCAGAAAGGATGGTGGTTTTCCCTGTGTTTAGTAAACAACTCTCTGGAGTGAAAAACATATTGCTTATGCCAGTTACCAATGGTGCTTTGCAGCCATCAAGCTATAAAGGGACAAAGCAGAAGGATGGTCTTGTGGATAAAGCATAGCAGTGGAAGTCAGGAGATCTCCACATAGCTATGCCATACACGCTGAATGTGTTTGGCAGGTCACTTCACCTCGCCATTCCTGTTGCCCCACTTCTAATGTAGGGACAATAATACTCTCCTACCTCGCAGATCTGTTGTGAGGATTAATCCATTAATGTTTACAGCCTCCTTGGAGAGCCTCAGACAGGAGACAAATGAAAATGACAGAGCTGGTCTAGTAGCATAAAGCCATTAAAGTCAGAGGCAAAATAATCATTAACTTCAATGGGATCAGGATTTGGCCTGTGGTACATGGTTCCTCTCTTCCCTATCCTGTGTCTCAGGCTCCCCTCTTCTCCCTTTATTTCTGTGCATTTTCCTGCCTCTGTGTTTTCTGCCCTCTTTCCACTCCCCTGCCTCTTTCCCCGAATTTAAAATGTCAAACTATTTACAGTCCAAGAAGTGCGCACTATTCTGCGCTTTTCTGATGTCACTTGTGTATCCGAGCCTTTACTACTCAGCAATATGGATAGAAACATCAGCTTTCTTTTAACCCCAGGATCGGCTGCCATGTACGACACCCTTTATGCACTCAGTAATGCCCCTGATCTATTGTTCTGAGTAAGAGAACTTGCAAATGTCTAAATATTTTTAAGACCATGGTTCTTGTTATCGAGCCCCTGGTATTGACAGTTCCAGTGCTGGGCTAGCTAAAACCATTTCAGTACTAATTAACTGGCACATAAAGATTGTCTTAACAAACTGACATGTATTGTGATTTCATTATTGAATATTACGGTTGAAAGTTTGACAATAGGAAATTTATATAATCAAAACCCCATTGGGTTCATCTGATCATAGCAATCCCTTGGCTGTTATCATAGCTCTGG